TAAATATTATTTTCATCATGAAATTAGGCTTGCCATTCAGAAAGCGAAGTGAAAGCCAAGGTTTGCTAAATGTCTGTTCTGAACCATGATTTTTCTTCATGTTTAATTCCATAATCACTTTTGTTCTTCAGTAAATATTTCTGTTCATTTATTTTTTCATATAATTTTTTGAAAGCTTTTTCCTCTTTGTCATAGGTCTTTCCTCTAAAATTCAAAGTGAACAGTGAAGTCAGGCCTGGCGATTGCGTCTAGCATGAAACAGCCTGTCGTCTCTGAGTGTTGACTTCTATGTTCACTTTATATTTAGACACTCTCTATCTCTGATATTGAGCACTTTTATCCCATAACTATAGCATTCTTTGAAACTATATTTTTCATATATATATATATATATATATATATATATATATATATATATATATATATATATATGTATATATGTAGCTCACATATAATGCTAGTGTTAATAAGACTCTGCTCGATGTAATATAACATAGCTATTAAGTTTATATTAATGAATATATATATACCTCACTCCAAGCAACACTCATGCACAACGCAATCTTCAGGTGGTGTGTATAATGGTAATTCAGTGATTTAACAATATAAGTGTAGTTGTGGACTCGACTACATAGAGAGGATGTCCCAGCGTTTGTATTCGAGAATGCAACAACATTTATCCCCCAGGCTGCCAGGAAGAGCCAACCAACCAATAGTTCTGGTTCTGCGATTGCTGAGCATATAATAAATAGTAGGAAATGTGTGGTTAATTTTAGTGTGGACTGTTTTTTGATTTTATCTAGGTCCCACTCCACATTTCACCTCAAGGTTCTAGAGTTCTTGTATATCAGATCCCGTGACCCTTCTCTTTGTAAATATATATATATATATATATATATATATATATATATATATATATATATATATATATATATATATTGGACATCCAGTGTAGGTAATTTTCATAACTCAAAGTGGTAAACGTTCACCGATATGGTGACATTTTTAACAGGTGAACCGAAAATGTATGTGTATCCTCATGCCAATGGTAGCCATCTTGAAATGATCGTAATCAATACAGTCTGACAGATACAGTGGATGTGGGAAAACTACTCACCTCAAGCACATCCACACTATTTCTGAATATAGTCTAAAATCTAAAAGAAAAGAAACAACGACTTCTGTTGCTTCTTTGCCAAATCTACAAAAAGGTGACGCGAAATCTCGCTTACCACAGATAAAAATAAATTTCGTGAATGATGGTAACATTCCGGAAGGAAATTTAGTTGGAGGCAAAAGTACAAATGAACTGATAGTATACAGTTTAAGTGACTATTATTTGACGAAAATAAAGACAACAAAGGGATGTCGGAAATTTAGGACGTTTACTGGTCTCTTTCCTTATTTGATTAGCGCCCAAAAATCGTTATTTCATCGCTTAACTCAGAAAATCTTCACCTCGTTAACTGTACTTCGAGGAAAATGTTGTTTAGGCTTCTAAGCGTAAACCGAAAATTGGGAAGATTTTCCAGAAGAAAAGTGAGAAAAATATTTTCCCTGTCAAAGTGGGATGTCGAAGGTTCATCTGACTAAACTTGATATTAGAAAAATAGAAAGATCGAATGATAAAACCTTATTTTACGAGCCTGAAAAAATGAGGAATACAAGGCCATTCTCTTCTGCCTGAAGAGTATTACTATATTATATCACTGAAAGCAATATGCGAATTACAAAATGAAGATAAAGCGTACATTTCAAAGAGAGGAACGTTATGCAATGATGGCCGTTTGGCGCTTAATAGCCAAACAGCAAAAATTTCAGCTTTTCATTTAGAGGCAACGGAAGATTTTTCTCTTATGTTTTACTTGAGTACCTTGGATTGCCGTTAATGAAGTTTGAGCTCCAATTTAGATTCCCGGGTCATTGTCTAATGAATCATTTGTTCACGATGCATTTAACAACGAATGAATAAATTTATAAATTTACAATCATATGTTTACATTTACCAATAAATCCACCAATTTTTTATTAAGTTCTAATACTATCTATTTTATATCTACTAATATATCTATCAATATATTTATCGGTGGATTAAATTTGGTATCTCAGAAAATTATTATTTTGTTGCCGAATAAATAATCAAAACATGAAGACATTCTCGTACATTTAAAATCTAAAATAATAATGGTTATTCATTTATCAGCCTATATATATTCATTCACTATATAAGAGGTTTCTAAAGTGGACGGCAACATTTTCCTGAGATCCGAGAAATATCCAAAGAAGGATTGATGAAAAACAGGGAGACAGATAGATGGAATGCTAACATCAACAGCAAGAAATATCTTTGACAAAATCTAATTCACAAGTACGTAACTTACAAATATGTGTGTTTATTTTATGGTTCTAACTTGAAGTTTAATGACCAGAATGTTGTTTCTATTATGATGGCATAGTCTAGAACAGATCCACAAGCCAGATCAGGCAGCAGATATCTTAGGGACTGGAGATCATTGCATTCTCACGGCTGGAAGAATTGCAAATTATCTGGTCAGCATACAAGAGAAGTTGCTCATTAATGTTGTTTCCACATGGTTTCTTCCATGAAGATATAATGGTTTAGTCATCTTCAACCATGCAATCTCCAATGACTTCCATGCGAGGAGTAAAATGGTTGCATTATGGCTCCAACTTTCTTCCATACTTTATACTCTGACTGACTGCACTGACGGTATCTACCTCCGTACCTGAGCGAATCTGAAGACTTTCATCACGGCTTCATGGGTCAGAGGTCATGCGCAAGTTACTGTTTCTGGATAATGAATCACATAATTTGGACTGTAAAAATTAGTTATCTGTTTTCCGAAGTCCCAAAAGATTATTTGCTTGAAAAAGATAAACATCGTTGATCAGGAGAATGATTCGGTCGCAGGTTGCCAACACTCATTACGAACTAAACTTTGCCGTAATTTGAACTGCAGCTAAGATTATACCAATATGCCATCGTTTTACTAATTTGCCAAGCCCCCTTTTCTTCATGACGTGCCTTCTTTTCTCATCATTAGTGTAGATTTTCTTTCTATTTTTCTTAAAATTCTTGTTGAATCATTGAATAGTATACACGTTATTTTTATGCACGAAACGGAAGAATGCTCGCTAATAATTTACATTGTGTGTAGATTTCAACTGATCAAACCTTTTGTGTTAAGAACCAGTTACCATCCTTTACTATCATGAATGGATTGATCTATTCATAAGTAGTCCTGGGTAATTGTCTAGAAAAGAAGATATTGCAGTGACTTGTCTAGCTGAGTATTAAATACTACTATCACGACTGGCAATGTCGAGTTGAGTGTTATGTCTTGCCAGACATCGCATCGCAACAAAAACAGTGACGCCAAATAGACTAGCCACGAAAGATTTATAACAAGGACTCTGACATACCTGAAACCTCTGATAGCATCCAACCCAGTATGTTTCTCTTATGCTTATCACAAATTTCATTTATTAATTAAGGTAAAATAATCAATCAAACAATCGAGAATAATATCTAATACTAGAAAAATTAGGTCTCAGATAGAAAATTCGTGTTTACCATAAATCGTATTGATTTCATCATGTGTTTTCTTCTTTTTGTTTTGTTGAGAAAACTGATTTTTCCAACTGGGATCGACAAAAAACACGAAACTTCATCTCTCATATTTAATTGATTTAATTTCATTCTGAATTCAATTACTCTCAGCCTGTGTGTGTGTGTGTGTGTGTGTGTGTGTGTGTGTGTGTGTACGCGCGATGCCCTTGCGAATGTTGCCCTTACATTCTCGTCTGCGATATCTGGGAGCTATTCACTTTCACCTCCCTGGAGTGGCTGCTAATATATTTCCTATAATTCGACTCTTTCACCTTAGTACACCTGGTCCCATTACGTGTATATCTGCACCTCGACAGGTGGAAAATCACCTCGGATCTACCTGACTTCGCTCAATTATACTGATTGCAAAAGATGACACAAACATAAGCTACAACTTGAAGGAAGAAGTTCTTTTTTTTAATTTCGAATTGCTAGCATACATTTAAGCCTTTATTTAGTAGAGTTTATGAATTGCTTATGAGAGCGTGGGTAACTGAAACCGTGGAAAGCGAGACCGCAGATAAAGTGGTACTTTGAAGATGAAATGCAGTGGAGTTAGAGTATTTGCTTCAGAGTTAATGACTCGACTTATGAACGAGCATATGCGATATTCAAAGTTTTAATGATTTACTAAAATAATAATAATAATTTAAAAATAATAATAATAATAATAATTTAAAATAATAATAATAAGTTCTTTACATTTTTATGTTGATTTTTTCCTAATTTCTTCATTCCATTCTTCTTGAGAATGTCAATTTAACAGTTTCATTGTTTTCTGCTTGTGGTTCTACAGAAGGATACTGAGAATTCCATGACAGGTGTGAGTAAGCAACAAGGATGTATAAAAAAAAGTGGTAACAGAAAGAACACTTCTACTTAGAATCATGTTGGTTGGTTGGTTGATTTTATTTAGCGGCGTAAGGAGGGCTTGGAGAATCTGATACTCACAAGGCGGATAGAGGGAAAGAGCGGGAAAGCAACTCGTGACATACCTAGCTGGCTTAAGCAAGTGGATGACAGAAAAGTGTCTGGGAGAAGAAGTAAAAGAACAAAACATATTGACAACTACAAGGGATATGGGAAAATGGAGAGCCATGATCGCCTACGTCCTGAAGGGACACGGCACATAAAAGAAAAGATAAACCCCTTATGGTCTATTTAATGCCGAAATCTAAATATTTTGAACACAGTTCTTTTTTAGAGATAATAAATGTTTTAGTGATGCAATTCTTGCTAATTAACCCATAGCTGGGGGAGAAGAGGTGGATGCATACCTTTCCCAATGGTATTTGTTTGTTAGCGCACATAACGAACCCGATTAACTGATTCTGAGCTATTATCTATAACACCACCCGAACATCCAATCTTACAGCACCTGATATTCTAAAGCTGTCACCCATATAGGTACTAACCAAGATCAACGTTGCTTAACTTCGGTGGTCGTACGGAAACCTGTGTTTCAACGTGATATGGCCGTAAGCCTCAGAATCAGGAAAAGATATTTGAAATTCATTGGACACATAATGAGGAAAGAAGGCGTGGAAAATTTAACTTTGAAGGTGAAACGGAGAGAGACGGGTGCCTTAACAAAGGGAGAAAAACTATTAAGGGCCACAAGAAATAGGAAGTTGTGGAGAGTTATGATCGCCTATGTCCTGATGGACGCGGCATAGAAGAAGACGCTTTCCCGGACTCTTCACATTTGCTCCTTTTCCACTGAAAATTAAGCCTTTGTCTAGCTTTTAACATTCGTTTAATTCTTTGGTTTTCCTTCTTGTTCGGCCTTTTTTTTCTTCAATCCGCAGACATACAAGCATTGCTTTTCAAATTAAATAAACAAACCTATCAGCAAAGCAAATAGAAAAAAAAATAACGCCCTTTAGTCATTTCCCCCAAAAAGGAATTGATTTTTTCATCAGGAAGCCGATCTCGTTCCTCTCTGATGACTTCATCTGCCGTTGATTACATTTAATTAAAACGTCAAAAGTTAATTAACGATTTGTTGGCCTTCAGTATCGTTGCAGAGATAAGTTGTCTGATATCAATCAGCGAGCATGATAGCATATCTCCCATCGCCCAACAATGGCTTATGTTTTAACTGCGGGCATGTCGAACAAGAATCGGTCAATGAATCAACATGCTCTACGTGTTGTCTTCAAGGAAAGGAAACGTCATTTGATTTTTACCAGTGTCATCAAACAGAATACATAGCTATAATGAAGGTGTATCAAAAACACTGAAGCCTCGGTGAACATAAAAACCTTAATTCGACTTTTTAAGTAAATTATTTCATTAATAAGAATGCGTTCAGCAAACTCGAATTGTTGTATTTGAGATATTTAAGTTTCACGACGCCATTCATCCTATGAAAAGCTGTGAATTTCGCATCACATCACGCATATATTATGATCTTAGGGACATGATATGTATTAACTGTACCTGTAACGGCATTCACCCGGGGTGGGTTGAGCCGGTTCCAATATTGGAGTTTCATGGGAATTTGGAATTCACAAGCAGTCCCCAACCCGCATGTATAGCACATGAGATTTGTTTATAGTGGTGAAGGTTTCGTGCAGGGCCATCCACACTTATTGAAGGGCCGATTACAAAGACCTGGTGCACTACGTGCCACAAGGTCCCCAAACAGCCCTCCGCAGGATTTGAATTCAGAGTTTTCCTTCTCCTCGACCAGTTGCCATCCAAGACTATAGAACCCAGTCTGTCCTGCAGACTGGATTCTATTTAACCATTGCTGGAGGGAGAAGAAGGGGATTCACAACTTTCCCAACGGTATTAGCACGTAAGTGAATGTAATGGATTCGACTGGAATTCGAACTCGGCTCTCAATCCAAGCCGCTATCCATTACTCCACCGTGCCTCCTAACAGTAATATAACAGAGTGCGATAAAAATACCGCCCATATATATCTCCCAGAAATAATGGTAAGACAATGGTGTCTTCATCTCGTACCATGATGTAAAAGACATTTCTAGGAGGTAGAAGTGGGAAATTTGTATGTACCGGCGCTTTGTGGGTTTTACAGCCTCTATATATAAGACTCTAACGATAAAACATTGTTAGTATAACGAATTCCTCCTTATTACGTCTACGACAGAAGTAAATACAATACGGGAGACATTAATAAATAAAATGTCAGCAATGTAGAAAGAAAAAGAGACGCTGTGGTGAATGCAGTCGAGGACAACAGCAGTAGTAGTAGTAGTAGAAGTAGCAATAATAGCAGTAGCAAGATAGGCTTAAGGGTTCAAGTCTTATACTCACGGTTGCTCCCCACGACAATAGCTTTGTAGATTAAAGCTTTGGTACGTGAATATGCGAGTAATGTAGATTTAGACATCAATTGAAACGGTACGAAATAAGAACAAGACGATATTTCTCTAGACATGGGCCATGGAACAAGAACACTCACCTACTGTAGATTAAATAAAAGCTCAATCTCTCTCTCTCTCTCTCTTTCTTTCTTTCTCTCTCTCTCTCTCTTTGTATATAGGGAGAGTTTATCACGCTATGCTTCTTACAAAATCTAAATAAACAGGCCGATTAATAAAGTCAAAAAAGAAAGGATATTATTAGTTATTATATATTCTTTAACAATTAGACAAAATAAAAGGACAATAAAAATGTATGAAATTTGAATTTGGGAAAATATGTTTAAAGAAGTTTGCATTGCGCATGTGCGAATTTGTTGTAGGAAAATTATTACAAATATGCCTAACATAAGAATTGACACTGGATTAAAAGATGCAATATTGTTGTTACAAGTTGCTGATTATTATAGCCCCCCCCCCAAAAAAAAGAATATTAATTAAGTTAATTTCGGATAATCGTTGTTTTGTAGAAATTATATTCGCTAAGTAGGCTTAAATTGCTTTAATATATTCTATATTATAGATGTTCTCATGTCCAAAACTAAATTGCTCTCTTAATCATCTTAGAGAAGCTTCTTTTTGCTTCCATCAACCTTCAGAAGATTAACACATTGACCCTTTTTGGTTTTCTATTGATATAAATTAGAAGAATTATATTGAGTAAATTTCTAAGAAATCTGGTTCATTATATCGTACTGGACAGTTTTTTCCCCGAATCTGTCTTGTACTTTTATAACTCTACCAGTCGATTGTTGCCACGTCTGTTTTAGCGTTTCAGATATTTATCTAAAGATTAATGAGAAAATCCAAGGAAGAATTTGCAATAATGTGAATGCGGATCTGGAATCTTGGCTTCAATCGCTTTGGAAATGTTGTAACGTCGCTTTCCTCTGCCTTTTCTATAAATATCTTCATAGTAATTGTTTTGATAAGTTTCCTTCTTAATTACTTCGATGTTATGAACTTAAGCTCAATGCTAGATGGGTAAGTAGGTCTCAAAATTTCTCTATTGAAATTGCTAGTTGTAAACGTTACTTCCACATGCTAACAATTGACGTCTCGTTTCCTGCCAACAAAGATCTTGAAAAATGAAAATGCTTAATTTATTCTCTCTTATTGTTACAACAGTAAATGCCAAAAGAACTGATCTAGCAAAATTATTAACATCACAATGTTTAGTATCATATTTCTGTGTAAAACGTCGAGATATCGTTCTACGTCAGGGCTTGGTAACCTTTTCAAGAGAGCGAGCCAGGCAGCTATGCAGTGTCTCAGAAGAGGGCCATGATATCAAATGGAAATCATAAAGTGTCTTAACTTCAGACCACTTCGTTCAGAAGGTTGATTTGATCTGATTTAAAGAAAAACAACAAAGTTAACACTTTATTATTTAAACAAGTTTCCTTATTTTACTGCAGATATAACAGGATAACAATTAATACAATCAAGAAATATGAAAAATTCTTACGACAAACGAAACACAATTAGAAATAGCAAATTATTTAATGAAGCGCTTCTTTCTGCTTATTGTTTGATAAATTCACCACATCAGGTGAAATATTTGCCGATAACCGTATTCTTAAAGGATTTCAGGGTATATTTCTTTTTCAAAAAATGTTGTTTCTAAGCTTACGTACTCCCAAATAATGTTACCATCATTTACGCATTATTCAAAAGTCTTTTATACTTTCCGCTTGGCAAAATATATTTCTTGTAGAAATCAGCAGAAATTAAATTTTGATTTAAAAATCCGTCGCATTTAAGTCGATTAACTGCAACCAATATTTTTCTGTCGCTTGCTTCACGAATTAATTAGATAATTAGTGTCCAAATGTTAAGTTAGTGGGGCATACAAAAATCCTTTGCGGGCCAGATGTGGCCCGGGGGGTTGGGGGTTATCGAACCCTGTTCTACATTTTTATATTCAGGCTATTAGAATTTTAGTACTGCTATTTATTCACCTTCATTAGAAACAATGAAAAGAAGACTGGACTTTTCATGTGAATGTCTCATCCACCATATTGTAGTAGATATTTTATTGACGAATGTAGTGTATTGGTATAACTTGTGACAAATATGATACATTGTGACAAATATGGAACATGGTGACAAATATGGAATATTGTGGCAAATATGGAACATGGTGACAAATATGGAATATTGTGGCAAATATGGAACATGGTGACAAATATGGAATATTGTATGAATATGGAACATGGTGACAATTATGGAATATTGTGGCAAATATGGAACATGGTGACAAATATGGAATATTGTGGCAAATATGGAACATGGTGACAAATATGGAATATTGTGGCAAATATGGAACATGGTGACAAATATGGAATATTGTGGCAAATATGGAACATGGTGACAAATATGGAATATTGTGGCAAATATGGAACATGGTGACAAATATGGAATATTGTGGCAAAATGGAACATGGTGAATTATGGGTGACAAATATGGAACATTGTGACAAATATGGAAACATGGCAAATACAAATATGGACAAATATTGATATTGTGGCAAATATGGAACATGGTGACAAATATGGAATATTTGGCAAATATGGAACATGGTGACAAATATGGAATATTGTGGCAATATGGAACATGGTGACAAATATGGAATATTGTGGCAATATGGAACATGGTGACAAATATGGAATATTGTGGCAAATATGGAACATGGTGACAAATATGGAATATTGTGGCAAATATGGAACATGGTGACAAATATGGAATATTGTGGCGAATATGGAACATGGTGACAATTATGGAATATTGTGGCAAATATGGAACATGGTGACAAATATGGAATATTGTGGCAAATATGGAACATGGTGGCAAATATGGAACATGGTGACAATTATGGAATATTGTGGCAAATATGGAACATGGTGACAAATATGGAATATTGTGACAAATGTGGAAGTTTTAAGGAAAAGAGGAACTACTCATTAAATGATGACCACAATCAGGCATTCATAGGGTACATACTAAAGAAAGAATGCTTGGAGAATTTAATACTCTCAGGAAGTAAGGAAAGCAATCGTTGACAAAGTTTTAAAAGATAGATTAAACAAC